TTTGGTCCCATTCCTTCCATGCAACGCCCATAGGGCTAATGTTAACCCTCGCACGACCAGGCCATTTCTCATAACACGAACGACCAGGGGGGGGGTTGTTACGACCCCCCCCCCTGGCGTTTCGAAACGGAAGGTCGTAGAGCTTAGCGGAAAAGACCAACGGATTGCTCTCGCCGAGATCTCGCGATTGGTGGTATATTTTTTGGTCCTAGGTCAACATTTGACCTACTTTTGACCGGTCAAAGGTCAAATTTTCGGAAAAATAGACTTTTTTCAACTTTCGGCGGCGATTGCGGCAAAACGGTGGGAGATATCGACTTGAAACCTTCACTATCGTGTTCCTTGATCAATTCTCTATCGTTTGGTATGTATTTCGTTTCCCTAGCTCTAAAAATGGCGCGTTGGGAGCGCCGGAAGTCGGCAAGGTCACAGTCGGCGGCAGAAATTCGAAAAATCAAAATTTAAATTTTTGAAATCTGATTGTATTTTTGGATTTGGGAGGTCCATTTGCTCCCTGTAGAAGCTAATATTGCTGCATATTCCCATTGAGGTGACAAGAATTAGCAAAATAGTGGTTCGGGCGCTTTTCAAAAATAGTACCGGACGCTGTTCCTCTTGTGACGTCATAGCTCCGTGACCTGACCTGACCCGGTCAAATTTCTTATACCATATGATAGCCAATACTTGCCCCAACATGCATGGGAAGTTTCATCACGATCCATCAACCGATGTCCGTACCACCGGCAGGAAACCTCGGGCGTTGGCACTCAGTTTGTGAAAATCCGGCCGGAGGCTGTACCTCTTATGACGTCATAACTCCGTGACCTGACATGACCCGATCAATTTTTTTTCGGCAAAAGATGCGCAAAGGTTGCCCCATAAGGTACCCAAAATTTGGCGGCGCTGCGCGCCGCCGTTTTTGCACTATTTCCGAAAAACCTCAGGGGGGGGGGTTGATACAACCCCCCCCCTAGGCGTTCTAGGGTTAAAATGCCAAAATCAAAGGGGGGCATCCCAGTCCCACGCACAAGGGGGAAAAGCTCAAATTATTGAGCGCTCAAAATATTGAGCGTGTGACGTCAGAGGCTCCCATAGGCGTAATGCTGAGGGCTCAAAAAATTGAGCCGTTTCAGGAACACGTTTTGCAAAAGCAACTCGCAACACCTAGGGAGAAATCGCAACACCCTAGGAGAATCACTAATGATGCTAAACAGATTAGGCTTTCATATTTTTCACTGCTCAAGCTTCAATGATTGGGGGAACACCAATTTATAGGTCGAAATCTTACGGCATACCAGGATGACTTAAAAACAGGCCAATATTTATGTCGAAATAAAAGTTATTTTTTGTCCATTCACGTTTTTTACTAGGGTTCTGTTGGAAAGAGCATTTTTTATACTACCCAAAATGATTGCGACTCAATTTCACATTACCCATATCGGAGAATAGTTTTCATTTGGCGGCGCCGTTTGTTTATTTCGTCGCGACGTCTTCGGTCGCGTGGTTGTCGTCGTCCTTGTGTTGAAGGTAAGTTTTTATCGTTTTAGTTATACTTAGATGTTAAAAGGTACACTGAAAAGTTTGAATATGCTGTGATTTTAAAGTTGGAAACACGTAAACGTCAATCAATTCACGTTTTCCTCGATTTGCGTGCAGATAAGTAACTGTCGACGAAAGTGGCGCCATCCGATATGATGTTTTGAAGGAAGGAGACACAACATATTTACGAGAAAATTTTTGTTTTTTAGTGGTCTAAGTGCTTCAAAGAGGCTGTGAATGTTTTCTTCACACAATTTTTCATTAGGTATGATGAGGTAAAAGGTAGTTTCAGTCTTAACTTTCATATAATTGACATTAAAACATATGATAGTCCACTGCTATCAGTGATTGAGTACCTTGATATTTGGCATTTCTTATTAATTTGAATGTATTCTCTATCCATATGTCCTGATAGGAAGTGACAATACTCTGCCAATATGTTTCCATAGTTTTCACATTCATTTTCCAGTCCTTTACATAACATCACAATTTATAACCAACAAAACTCAACTCCTTCGTTACTTCACAACACTGACAGCATGACAGACTGACAGTCAACTTTTGTGTGTATGTGAATGCTGAAACATAATAGCCACTTTGCTGATTGGCTCATATGAAATAAGATAAAAATGATCCTTTATATCATTTCCATCTGGAGGATCGGAGTCAACGGAAAAGGAAGGCCACTTTCAAGCCTCAAGGTCTAGGCCGCCAGACGCCAGTCGGCAGTCACCACCAAATTTACAATAGATAAATTCATTATTATACTTTGAGACCCTTATGTCACTGGATCGGCATCACATTTTCAGTTTCAATATAGTAAAGGTTTTTATTTGTATGATGTGAAATATTTTCCTGAATCAGAATTTAATTATCCCTAGGTACCTGGTAGAGGTTTCGGATTTAATGTTTATTGTTGGTGTGCAGTCAGGATGTTTTGACAGGTCCAGATAGGGAATCCTGAGCAATTTTATAGTAAAGTGGTCTCCTTAATAATATAATCACCACACATTTTATCAAAAGCATTTGCAGAATTTATTCAATGAATAATTTTATCAATGTTGCACCCATTTCTTAGACGACCTAGGCTGCATCTTTTTTTAGTTCCTGTTGTATGACATATTTTCCATTTAGTTCCACTGCATAAAGAAAAAAAATCGTTTGAGATCACCAAACAGCTTTTCTTTTTCTGGCAGGTCTGCACAACCAAGCGGTCGCTGGCGAGGACGTCGGCCGTCCCTGTGGGTAAGGTCATCTGCTCAGCCTTTGTGGAGATCAGCAAGACGTCACCAAGATGAAGACTTCGCTGGAGCAGAAGCCGCTAACCCGTGTCCGATCGGGCAGGTCATGCTCGACGGCACGAGCCACAACTTGAACGACTCGGTGACATCAACAACATGGTGGAGCAGGTGAATGAGTTTGGCGACGTGTTGTGCGACTGCAAGAAGGGTTGTCTGCGCGTTCTGGCTGGCGGAGCGGCGACGCTGCGCAGTCTGTGCTGGCGCCTGGCGGTGAGCAGCTGGCCGTGGTGACCGCGCGCGCCCACATGCGCCGACAACCTGTGTGGCTTCGACGGCCCCGGGACAGCCCGATGCCGCCCACTATGCGACGCCGACCGCGCACTGTCCGCACGGCCACATGGAGGTGTGCCCGCGCCTTTTGCCCGCACGCCGCTACCTCGCAGCTGGTCTGCAACCACGCCGTCGCCGCCTGTAGCCCGATAACAAAACGGCTGTCTGATAATGCCGCGTGTTCTTTGTGATGTTGCTACTGTGATGGTTGCTACTGCTGGTCTGAGACTCGATGTTTCCATTCGTCCTTTACATGTTAAGGATTTGATAATGATTAGCTTAGTCCGAGCTTAGGTCGTTTATATCATTTGTTATATGGCATATTTTGGATCAAAGCAGTACGACACTGCCTCCTGCTTTTGTGATGTATGCTGGCAAGACGCAGGTTCCGGTCGCAGGTCACCCGTTTCCAATGTGGTCGGGCTGACATGCGATAATGTGATGTTGTTTGGCTCGTCTCTGTGTTCCACACTTGATGATGTTTGTGAATCTAACCCACATTGTATAGTATTTTTGTTTGTTTGCGGCCGATGGCCTTGTAAGTTGTAACCGTGGCAATACATTTTTCCTGCTATAATTCTCCAATATTCAAGCGTGGGTGGATATCTTTCTGTATTCACGTATTCCCTTCTCCCGGTACAGTCAGAGAATATCAATACAGTATTCATACGGATTATTCAAGCCCTGTATAATTATTTGAGGTGTGCCGAATCCGAAAGGCGACCGATAAAACTACTAGCGGTCAGCGGAAAATGTGACATGATGCCATGGGTTTATGAAAAGTTTAGGTACCACGTAGCATTCAACTTCCTGCATTTCTGTTTCAACTCAGTTTAACGTATTTCAACGAACATAACATCAAAAATGGTAGCCAGTACCGGCTTCACCTGGCACGGAGAACGCTCAAAAAATTGAGTGTAGATGCTGGCCGGCACTCAATTTTTTGAGCGCCAGCTGACTGTCGTCTGTCGTGGCGCTCAATTTATTGAGTATCGCGGTCCCGAACGACAAGTGGCGCTCAAAAAGTTGAGCGTCTTTAGGGCATTTTCTTTCCAAAAACACCGATATAAATTATCACGGCGAGTGTTCGAGAAGAAACCTTGTTGCTCTCTCTTGCCATTGATACCTTATTTGGATACGATATTTGCCGTAGTGTGACGCTAAAGGCATTGTAAAATGCCATCGTTTCGCCTATTCCTTCATAATGGGGCCCGCTCAATTTTTTGAGCGCTCAATTTTTTGAGCTTTTCCCCCTTGTGCGTGGGACTGATATACCAAAGACAAAACCGCACACCGCAAGCGCCACAAATGCGCCATCGAATGCATGTCAAGGTCGCTGATAAAAGTGAGATTTCAGTAAAACTGCAGTAAATCTGACGTCATAGAAAATGCTAGCCGTATCCGAGCTCGTTTTTGCTAAAATTGTGTCGTGTATCAGGCAACTCGGCTTCAAACAGCGTAAAATATAACAGCGTAAGCATATCGCATTGAACTTGGTCTTGATTGGGCACAACTAATGCAAATCCGTGGTTCCCTAACGCCTAACGGTGACAGCGGCAGGCGCAGCGCGCCAAAATGCTAAGCGTGCCCGGCGTCGGATAATTCACTTCTACAATCAGCAATCCATCCGATTTCAGCGCATGACAGTTGATGTTCTGCACGAGACGCCCAGCCCACAGGCCACAGGACAATATGCAATAGACGGCAAGGCCCTATATACGGTAGACGGTAAATGCCGGCCGACTAAAATTTGACGTCCCGTATGTACAACCCTCGGCTCCATGTGCTGCGTTGATCATTTGGTCAGCAATACATTCAACTGACGATTTGCATCCCACGTATCCGCATCCTGACCCCCGTCCCCCCCCCCCCTCCAACACACACATTGGCCGCCGCGTAACACATGTGTTTATTACACAGAGCAGGTAAGTACACTTAACGACCCCACGCGCTACGCCCGATGGAAATGGCAGGTGACTCGAGTCACTCCGCCGCCAATGACTCGAGCCACTGCACCGCTGATGACTCGAGTCACTCCGCCGCCGGTGACTCGAGTCAGTCATGGTTGGCATCGAGCTGACGACACGGGTACGGCACCCGCCACTGGTCAGGTTCAGCGTCACACGGGTCTGAGCTAACGAGATTTCCCCGCACTTTTGAACAGCTGCTAGACAGACCGGCGAGCCGGGCGGGCGGGCACAGAGACAGGCGGCCGCTCCCCGCCGTCCCAGGACCGCACCGGCGCAGCGCGAGCACCTAACTACAGCGTACTTGACCGCTCCGTGCTAGACACAAACCAGCCGAACTTCACACAAAGGCACAATGTAATAAAAGGGCAGACAGCGATAAGGAAAGAACAGGCAGCTTTTGTCAGCCTTCCGACTCTACTGGTGAGACGCTCAGCGTGCTCCCTGAAGCATTCGTCGGTTATCCCTGGCGGGCGTTATCCGGGCCCGCGGCGCGGCGCTGGCCGGGCGCCGGCGCCGCGGGCACTGGCTGGGCTCGGGGGCAGCAGCGGTAGCATCACAGCCGGTCGCGGCGCCGGCGAGCCGCGACCAACACTCCCTCCCCCTCCCGATCTCCTCAGAGGTCCTGGCGCCTGACCCGGCGAGCGGTGCCGAGCGAGCACAGCGCCACTGGCGGCCGACAGTCGAACTAGACATTGTGGATGGCGAGCCGGAAACAGTCGTGCTGGCAGAAGAAGCCCTGGCCGGTGGGCACTGGTTTGAGGACGAACGTCTGAGAGAAGCCGTGCACGGGGTCGTCGTCCGTCTGCAGCAGAGGGGGCAGCGCGTCAGGAGGGTGGCACAGAGAGGGGGTCAGACTGGCACAGATGGCGGCACAGAGGGCAGGGACACAGGGTCCCGAAAATGTCGGCGTAGGCACCAGATCCACGGCTTCAAGGGAACGGCAAATTGAAATAAATCCATTCTTCTAACACAAGCTGAATTGCCACATATCAAAAACTTGACTTCAAAACAATTTGAATATAAAACGAACACATTACATGGAATGATGATGCCTAGCTCTGGCTCGTCAGAATTGTTTCGCCTCACCTTCCAGTGATCAACAATAACCGATGGATTTGATTCTAGTCAACGATTACATCTTACAATACACCATATTTCTGGCCGTTATTAAAAACCGAATGTATCTGATCAATCTGCGTTGCGTACGAAATCAGTCGCATGTCAGGACTGCCTAAGTGTCTAACCGTCAACTCACGCACCTTGAGCTGTCCGACGACGTTAATGAGGATGCCTCCATCGAACATGGGCTGGCAGTCGACAGTGGTGACGATGTGCTGAATCTTGGTGAACGTCAGCGCCTGAAACAGAGACACGCAGGCGTCAGTGGTGGGGCCGGCACAGCCGCGGGCTTCGGCCGCTGACTGATCACCGTGGAGAATTAAATCGGGACGGAATCAGGTGGGTAATGGCCGAGAACTGGAACCAGGTAGGTAATGGCCGAGAACTGTGCTCACTTCTGGATTAACAGTGTGCTTAGATTAGCGTGCTTACACTGTTGCAACATCACCCCATGTGTTGCGTATCCGGAATAGCAAGAGCGTCACAAACCGGCTGACTCGTTCAGCTCTGGCATGCACAAAGTAAATAAACAGACCGCGCCTCCCGAAAAAGGCTGTAGCGCACTCACACAAAGTCCAATTGGCGAGAGGTAGTCGCTAAACCTTCAGCAAGTGTCACCGGTGAGCGAAACGCAGAGCATGCTACATTTAGGGGATTGTTGAAACCAAGGTGTTTTTTTTTTCAACAATGTCCGATAATACCGTAACATTCAGCGCAGTTTCCTATATGTAGGTGCTCTCCTAAACAATGCCACTGACTAGTTTGATTGTGTCCCAGTTCCAAACGTAGCCTGCTCACTGGAATTACTATGATTTTATCGAACATTTGGCAGGGTGCTCGGGCACCCTCCAAACCCAAAAATAAACATCTCTGAAGACATTGTAAAAGCACCACAGGCAAATGAAAAATAATCTCTTTCAGAACTGTGTCAGTTTGCCACAAATTCAACACACTTTATAATCTTCATAAAGCTTCTTCAGACGAATTTTAGCGAAGAACACCTACATACATTTTGCTTATTGTCCTTTGCCTATGAAAACGCTACCAAAATCCAGAAGTCGGCGTAGCGGTATTTCAGCCAGTAACTCAGCTACATGCGAGTTACCTAAAAGATCGCGTAATGGCGAAAAACAATCGCGAACTCTGCCTCCAAAAAGGTAAGAAGCGGGCAGTTCTCCGCTAATAGTGACAGACAGCACGTTAGCCGAGCTATCGCTACTACCGCATCACACGCAAGCTATAGCAGTGGGGCACTCAGTTACTCAAACCCACTACAGAGGCCTCAGAACCTTATCAACACTGGCACAGTCGGTGTTCCCGGCGTTTTCAGCAGAAGGCTGCCGAGTGCCAAACTGCCGACGGCCGTGCAGTGGCTGGTGGTACGTTTTTGACGAGATTTTAGCGATGCGTGTATTGATGATCCATGATGACCCAAGATTACTGGATGACCAACATGAGGAGTACATAAAGGGAAACCCCACTTGTTATGTATTTACAAAACTGAGCTGGATGAGCAGAAGGTGCATCTATAAAGAAGTGGCTGTAGTGGTAATAGCTGTTTCCAATAGCATAAATAGCAAAAGAAATGCAAGCAGTTACACTTTAGTGACAGGACCATCACTGTCAAACTCATATGAGCGAGCTGGCGGTCACAACTCTACAAATTTGATAATGTCATGCTTCATAAAACATGATTAGGGTATCACGTCAGTTCAAAATGCAGTAGCAAGGAACAGCTAGAATGCTGGAGTAAATATGCATGATTGCCACTCACGGCAAACTTCTCCATAATCTTCTGTGCTCCCTGGTGCTGGGAGCCTTCGAAGCTCATCAGACTTTGGTCGGGCTGAAATACAAATACACAGCACCGTCAGGTTTATGAAATGACAACATGCCTATGTATCTAAACTAACAAACACAATTTTTGAATAAACAGAAACAAAATATGCAGCAGTGCGCCACTTTTACAGGAATTAGGGCAAGTAACTGCCCCAAGAGTGTCACTTGTCACACATGAGCAAGCATTCAAACAAATTGCACATAACAATCATTGGTTCAAGTACTGTTCAACATACAATATAGGTACTTGTGCACTTCGTGAACAGAGTGGATAACACTGTTTACAATTTGGTCACTTCCAAACATGATGGCAAAGCCCAGAGAAATACCTAATAAAGACTTCTACCTATGTGCTGTTTTCGATAGCTGTGAGCCAATAGGAGAACTTCTTCATATTCAATAGCATCAATCAGATAAACAAAAGAATAACATGAGCCAGGTAGGCCCACATATGAAACATATCATTTATCCCCTCAACTACTCCGGGTTCAAATTGTGGAGATTGTGATGAACATAAGTTTAAGCATAGGTAGGTAGTTGGGTACTTATAAAATTAACTACTACCTCACTGCCTGGTAATTCTTATTTTAACAACACCAATGTTATGCGTTTTTGGGGTGCCTGGACTGTACACACTAACAACAGCCAGACCATGACCTGTTAAGAAGTACCTATCTATTGGTTCCAAATGCTATTATTTGCTATATTGCTATCAATTGGTTTCAAGTTCAATGTTTTGACCTGTAAACCCTATTTTTCTAATGAAACCAAACACATTCAAAACCACAAACTGAACATTCACCAGACTGAAATCCCTCAATGTCCACCTAGCAGAGTGAAACTAGCCTTTTGATCCCCACATCAACTGCTGCCCTAGTGTGTGGCAATCATTGCAGAAGAGGAACCCAATGACTACCCAATTGTGAGTACCTAAATGTGTAGACTGTAGATGAAGTAAGGTGAAGATAAAAAACAGTATCTAACCTGACCTAACCTTACCTACTGAAGTACAATCCTGAACCAACCAACCTACAACCTACAAACCTACAACCTATCAACTTAAAGCCTACAACCTACAACCTAGGTACCAACTTACCAACCATACTTTATCTACACATACACCCAATTGTGCAACAGGTCATCCACCCAGACTCTAAAGCATGGTAGTCTCAAGTCTCAACAACCTCTTGTCAGTACCGGGACACTCAGCTGGTAGGCACACAGTGAGGTGCAGATCTACCAGTGTGGTGTGACTTGTGAGGCTTGATTGGAGTGGTGTATGACCATTATACTGGTGCCTATGGTGCAAAACAGTAGTACCTCCACATCATCGTACCAGTATAACGCCTTTTGGGGCGACTAACGGAGCGAGCGAGAGGGTGGGCCTTGCACATGCGAAATTGTGAGGGAGTACCTCCAGCTGACTTGTGCACTGCACCCCACTAACCGGTCCCTAGCGATGTGCCAAATTTGAGCGCAATCGGCCCAGCCATTCTCGAGATCTGAAAGCGGCACCCTGCACGTGCAAAATGGGTCCCAACTGACTTGTGCACGGCACCCTACTAACTGGTCCCTAACTGTAACCGTGTACTAAATTTAAGCATCATCGGTCCAGCCGTTCTCGAGATCTGGAAACGACCCCTGCACGTGGCACGTGCAGCAGCGCCCCAACTCTCGCTTTGCAGTTTGGCCGTCAACTCACTCCCCTGGGTGAGTGAGTTGATGGCCACCATGAACAGCTGGTAGTAGTAAAGCAGGCATCACACTTGTTTTTTTTTGCAACCAAGGAGAGGTGGTGTAGGTTAGGTTTTAGGTTGTTAGTCTTAAGTGGTAAGATTTGGGTTTTAGGTTGGAGGTTGTAGGTTGGATAAATATTTACGTAGGGTCCGCAACACTTTTCAAGCAAAAAAAAGCACACTCCTACATTATTTCACATCCTTAATTCAGATATGATGCATAAATGTCTCACAAATAGGGTGTAGGTAAGGTTAGGTCAGTTTTGGCTAGGTTTGGTTTGGTTTGATTAGAAAGCATCTCTGGGTAAAGCGCCTCTCCATGATTGCAAAAAACAAGTGTGACGCCTGTTTTACGACTACTGAACAGCACTGCACAGTGCACATCATCTCAATCTGCAGATGCAAGTTCTATTTCAATTTACAGCATTATTATCAATCACAGATGACATGATAAATGATAAAAAAGGAGGATATCACTATAAATGATAAATGAATGTAGGTAGCATTCACAACTTACGCTGTAGAGGTTCACAAGCTGAGCTCTGCAATTCGGGTCGTCAAAAAGGGTGTAGTATTGCTTGGCAAACTGCTGTCCAATTTCCAAATACTGTGGGTTTAGCGCCATATTTTCAGAAGTTAAAATAGCGACCAGACTAGTCAACTGCTAATACTAGTTTTAACAGAATACAGCCCCTGAAAAATCAAAATATTCCGATGGAACCGCCCGTCGCGCGCCCCACCGCTCTGTCAAATTTCAATTTACAAGTCCACGCTCAGCGCAAAATGAAAAGCAACTAAAATGTTTTCTCATTGATTTTGCATTTATAGTTTTAGTGACGTCATTCAGCAGTCGTCGATCAATTGGTAGTTTGAAACAGAGTTGCTTTTCTAAAAGTATGTAAAATAATGTAGGACGGTGATTAAGTGCTTTTAGGAATTGATTCGGAATATTTACCTTATTTTAAAATCATTCACCGATGTTATTGTTCCTGAATGAACGTAAAACAACACAAAAACTTTCCGTTAAAATTAAGATTTCATGACGTCATCAAACATAATTGAGCCATCTGAATTTTATGTGAAAACAGAAGTATTGCGAATTCGGCGCGACAAAACCGCCGTGAAAGAGACAGGTGCGTCATTTTCGAAACACAAAGCAGCATGAAGAAATAAAGTACCGTAGCTAAATAATATACTTTACTAGCAGACCATATTTTTTACTCTAAGCTTCACCCAAAAATCATTATTATTACATCAGACCTATTGATATGAATGAAAAAGACAATAGAAACCTGCTTTTTAGCATACAACACATGTGTTTTGGATTTTTATCAGGCCATATAAAATAGTTAACCACATCACAAATCACAATACATTACAATCGAGGTCGAACGGGGTCGACAGCGTTCAACCTCGATTGTATTTTGATGTAGTTATCTTTATGTGGCGTGATCATGGGATTATTTCCGAAACACATGTGTCGCTAATTTAAACAAAAAAAAAAAAAAACGTTCCTATTGCCTTTTCCATTCATTTCTTCAACCACAAATTTTCATACCGACCTCAGACCTGACCGGTGGGCGGTGACCTATTCTGAAATAAAATATCACATTCGCGTTTTCTTTGCTAAATGAGCAACAAAAACGTTTAAAGAGATGTGTGCTTTCTTTCCGGGATGAGTCCGCCACAATAAGTACCTAGGCAGCCGTTGACCTTACCTTTCTGCAATAGGCTTGTTTTAATGTTTTGACTTTTGACTCAAAACTTACAAACATTTATTTTGTCGACATTTTGTTCCTCTCGTTAACCCTCGCCAGCACACTGCACAGGCCATTTTGCGTCCATTGACGGCACAAGGGTGCTGCACAGTGCACACAGTCCTTCGACGTTGGTGCGACCCCTCCCCCCCCCCCCCCCAGCTCGCGTTGGCCGCTGATCAACTATGAGCCTCGCGAAAAAAAAACGAGCGTGATGCCCGTGACGAGAGGAAGCCGATGATACCTAATTTTAAGGTCCTAGGTCATTGGTTGACCTTCCAGGTCAAGTCAATGATCCAAAAGTCGAGAAATTCGGGATGTTAGAACGTCGTGAAGTGTGGCTGCTCCGCCTGCTATGAAGTATTTCGGGTGCTGATCACGAATATCATGTTAGTTTTGATTACAGATGATGTCTCATGCATTTAGGCCAGGTCGGGTCAGGTCAGGTCAGGTCAACCAGTAGGAGTCCTGCCGGGTATTTGCAACGTGTCAACCGCCTCTGACAGCTTCGTAACATGTTACGAAGGCATCAAAAACTACTTCGTAAATGTTCAAATGGTTGCCAAATTCTAATTCAGCTCCAAAAACTGGCCTAGACTAACATGTAAAACTCGAAAAAGTGAACCGAGGTTATCAAAGGTCAATGATCTGACCTGATCATCAGGTGACCTTGACACCCACCCTAATGCATGGGACCAACATCATAGCTGATACCTAGCACATGGTTGAACGCTTGAAACCACGAAAAGACTGCAAACGCGCGGCTAATGCGAGCGGACATACGGCCAAACATGGTCTCAAAAAGAAGGTCACAGGTCAAAGGGCATTTGGGTCAGGGTCATGAAATTTTCAGGGTAGATTTAAAATTGAATAACGCGATGGTACTGAAAGTTTCGTCGCGATCAACCGCTTTTTACGCGAGTTATTCGCGAAAAACCGAGTGGGTGTCCGTTCGATCTCCCCCCCCCCCCCTATAGGGCGAGGGTCGAGCCGGAGTACTTCCCTCTAACGCCCACAGTCTGTGTCACGCTCTATGTAGGGGAGAGTGGGGCAAAACCGCCACCCGGGGCAAAGCGGCCACCCATCGTTTTAGCCCCTCATAGCTGGCGCCAGTTCTAATTCAGGTATGCTTTCCAATTATGTTTCTCTTCGCGATCGTTCGAATGAGCCAGACCGGGGTTTCAGGCCCATCACCATGTTGTTCTGTGAAACACGGAAAAGCATTGCTTGCCAGGACTTACCAACTAGGTAGGTATGTTTGCAATTCTTAAATGCTATTTTATTCCATAACCGTTTGTCCGTGAAATTTTATAAGCGTTCTTGTCCATGCATTGCGTGGTTAGCGTACATGTCTTCCACCAATTTTAATGCTTTTTACCCCACCAATAGCTGAGCTGGAATGTTTTTGTCTCGGACGGTATGCGCGGGGTAAAATGGCCGGGGCAAAGTGACCAGCCCCCAATTGGCCATAAGTTGTTTCCATCTGCACCAAAAAACATCATTTATATTCAAATGTGTCGTCATGCATTCATCTTGGCCACTTTTCGGTCACATGAGTTACCAAAGAATGCAATTAAATGTTTTTCCATGAAAAAATGAACCTGAAATTTTCAGGAAAGGCCTGCCAAAAGGGCGACAGCGTGGATATATTAGGTAACTTTGTCAGTGCCGTTCTTACGCTATTTGTTAAAAACATTAGAGGGTGCATTAAACCCCCTGGCCCAGCGAGTATCCCTATCCAATGGATAGTGATTGTACTCGTATCCATTGTATGAATCCTGTTATTCGTCTCGGTAAAGGCAATATTCTTTATGATTTTCCGAGCGTTGAAATGAATGTCAACGCCTCGTTGGAGATTATGCTCTCGACTAGAATAGGACTGCTTTGAGAAATAAAGTCCCGCTTTGTAAGACATATTGTTATTAACCCGCGCCCGGCTGGGGGTCCTGGATTTCCACGCCCTGCTGGGGGGGGGGGGTGTTTGAACACCCCCCCCCCTTGTAACTCGGCTCCTGGGCCACGTAGCGATACGCGGAAGGCGGCGTTCGAAAGAGCGTCAAAAATAATGACGAAATCACTTCGGTCAATTTTTTGGTCAGGTCAAAGGTCAGGTCACCAGAGGTCATTGAAGGCAAAATTTCGCCGATTTCCAGGTCGAATGGCGAAAATTTCCAAGAAGCCAACGCATAACTCGGGAGCCAATAGAGCTACAGCGCCGCGGAAAAGCGCATTCGATAGCCCTATTAACGCCCTTTCTGAGTAATTCTCTCAGATTTGACCTAACGTCAACGGTTTTGCCTGCAGGGGGCAAAAACTGCAAAAATAGCCGCTTTTGTGAAACGGGTTTAGGCTAACTTTTCGTTAGCCTAAACCCGATTTTCAATTTATTTTAATTTACCCTAACTTTTTGGATAGCATAAATTAAAACTAGTGTATTTTGATAGGAACAGCCCAGATCCGAGTTTATACTAACTTTGGAGCACGTTAGCCTAAACCAGATTTACCCTAACCCGGCCAATTAAACGATTCTGTTAGTTCACATTTTATCCACCAGGGTTTGCTTCATACTCAAAGGCCTTCCTCGTCCAGTAAAAGATCTGGCAGCGATGTGCCACGTCGATTTGGAAGCACGACTGAGATACAATTTCGGCGCAGCTGTTTGCACGCCGGAATATCTTTGAGCGTTATTGTTGTTGTTGCACATGCAGTTTCAAGGATGGTGGCAGTGGTCGCTGTGTGTCTACAACAGGTAAGCTAAATATTGTTCTCCCTGATATATGATAGATCAGGTTAAGTAAACAGCCAGAAGAACTCCACCCACCCATATTGTTGTCACTTGTCTCCTTGTTTTGTTTTGTTTTTTCCACCTACCTTCTTGCAAAAATTGCCTGTAGGTAGCTTGTGCCTGCCATGACATTGTCGTACTGCGCTGTGGGTAGCGCGTGGCTGGACGGACGGTCTGTGACAATCTTTTGATCTGTGGCTGATCTATTAGAGTGTCCGTCCGAGAGCCGTACGACGGCTGACAGAGCCTGGGGTCGCGAACTGGTGTGGTAACCGTTACGCCCACCTGGGACGCCCGAGTCGGTACGGCACTTGCGGTGTCGTAACCGGATCGGCGGGAACCAGCAGAACGCTGTTGGACCGGCGGTGAAAGTCGGAACCGAGCACTCGCCCACCAGTGGGGCGTCTGGTCGAGCAGGTCTACCCGCTAAGGCAGCCTGAGCACGAACCAGTGGCAGGGTCCGATCAATGACCGTGGTCCGACCAGGGTGTCAGCGCAATGGCCAGTCAGAGGCGTCTTTAAGGGCGCAGAAGCCCACCTCGGTCGACTGTGGCCAGTGCAACCTAGTCAGGTCGTTTGTGTGAATCTCCGTGTTCTTCCCTCGCCTCAGAGTAGCCGCTCTTCTCCAAATGCCCGAGCCGTTTTCTATGTGTATTGGTCTTGCAGCGAACAGCAGAGTCGAAAAACGAATTGACAATGTCGCCGAAAACCGCGGTCATATGCTAATTGTCGTACTGCGCTGTGGGTAGCGCGTGGCTGGACGGACGGTCTGTGACAATCTTTTGATCTGTGGCTGATCTATTAGAGTGTCCGTCCGAGAGCCGTACGACGGCTGACAGAGCCTGGGGTCGCGAACTGGTGTGGTAACCGTTACGCCCACCTGGGACGCCCGAGTCGGTACGGCACTTGCGGTGTCGTAACCGGATCGGCGGGAACCAGCAGAACGCTGTTGGACCGGCGGTGAAAGTCGGAACCGAGCACTCGCCCACCAGTGGGGCGTCTGGTCGAGCAGGTCTACCCGCTAAGGCAGCCTGAGCACGAACCAGTGGCAGGGTCCGATCAATGACCGTGGTCCGACCAGGGTGTCAGCGCAATGGCCAGTCAGAGGCGTCTTTAAGGGCGCAGAAGCCCACCTCGGTCGACTGTGGCCAGTGCAACCTAGTCAGGTCGTTTGTGTGAATCTCCGTGTTCTTCCCTCGCCTCAGAGTAGCCGCTCTTCTCCAAATGCCCGAGCCGTTTTCTATGTGTATTGGTCTTGCAGCGAACAGCAGAGTCGAAAAACGAATTGACAATGTCGCCGAAAACCGCGGTCATATGCTGGCCGTCCCTAGTACTACCAATATGCCCGCAGGCGCGGCGAGAGACAAGCTCAACGTATGAGTCACCGTCCGGCTGCC